ACAGACTTCTTTCCGCTGTGATGATTCTGCACTGCTGAACGACTGTGACTCTTATTGAACAATGCGCTCTGTGTATGTCACAGTCAAATGCTCTCGCCTTGAACAAATCTTATGATAATATGACACGTTTTTGAAGTAATAGCAATGAGCTTGTAATTTGTTGGTATCTTAATGTAAAGAATGGAAAATCATTTGGAGAATTGTTGCCAATTTCATAGCAGGATTTGTGAGTCCAAACTGTGGTGTAGGCTATGAAGCGCCGCTTGCGGGAAGTCAATGAGCGTGCGAGGTGATGCCGCGCGATGGGAGAGGGGAGATATTGTCGCTGATTCTTGCCGAGGAATAATTTCGTGGTGGTGGCAGTGGTGATAAGCTTATGAAGATTGATGCGTTGACGAGAAAACCACCAGCGAATGTTAACAGAGAGAATGTTGCTTATGTTAGCGCACATGAGAGATGTGACACCAAGTCCAAGTACGCCTGCGGTTATTGTTAGAGAAAGTGTCGCGCTGCTCATCGGGCGGCTGGGAGTCATATCAGTATGTACTCTCCCTGTACTGTGAAAATTAGTTTTCATTTTAATCACAAGAGTGAATGTCTTTTGATTTGAATAGCAGCTGCATTGTTCACTGAGGAGAGCGTTCGGTTATAGGCCTGAACTAAAACACTCTAAACACGCACTTCTTGCATATATGCAAAAAGTGTGTGGAGTTACGTTTTTTCTCTGCCATTATTTAGGCTTTTACTTTAGTGCAACCGTGAAGCAAATATAGGTCTTCTTGAACGAAGCTATATGAGAAAATGCCTGGTATGCGGGGCTCTTGATAACGCCGGTCTTATTAAGGATAACGCCGTGTAGGCATTCCACAAAATGTTTACCGCCGCATCCTGCCTCGCTGCTTAGGCAAACATGTCGCTGTAAAGCCGCCCTCTTCAGCGCCCTCGTCACGTCCTGCATTTCCCCTCATTCGCTAAGCCTCATCGCTCATCTTTTTTTCCATCTCATATTTTTACGGTGTTACATAATTTTTTCTATTTATTCTGAAATGATTATGGTATAGGGAGTTTAAAGTATGTATCACTTAAATACTCAGACATATTTTTTGTGCGTTAGATGCTCCCAAACAAAAGTTCATAATTTAACAAATAAACTCGCATTTTATACTTGCTGCTAGCATAAAATGCATTAAAGTTACCCTCTCTTGGCAGTTTTTAAACGAACTTTTTGTTAATGTATTACTTTTGAAACTAATAACAAACGTAGTAGCGAAAGCCGTAGTGGTAGTGACGTTTATTGGGGCTATGGACCGCTGTAGAAAGCAGCTCCTTCTTGACCCACGACCTGCGTAAATCTGTTGCTCGTTACTGGCTCAGGTCAACCTTATTTTCCTTGTACTCCTGCGCCTACCAAAAGCGTCGGCAATAACGCAAAAAATAGTATAACTCAGTGCTCACTTCAGTGAGTGACAGAGAGCGCATTTTCTCGTCGACGATAACTTGAGGTCACGGACAGACGGACGGACGGACATGGCGAGCACAATAGTGAATTTTTTCCATAAATGAGAAAATGCGCTAAAAACAAACAGTTTTATTGGTGGAAGACATGATTGTAGTCTCATGCGCGCAAGCAATATCGTAATGAAGTAGTTGTATTTTAAATTAGATGTCAATTTTGAGTGTGACTGAAACTCTGAACGTGAATGACATCGGTTAAATACCGAAATGCTGATTTGTAGTTACAGCAATCAAGATGTCCATTGCTACTTTAGCTACTTTACAATACATCAATAAGTGCTGTACTACTGATTGTAAATAACGAATATAATTTATTTTTGGGAAATTCGACCTCACTAATGGAGATAATTCTTTCATCTTTAGGAGCGGGTTTGTCCGGCGCCAGTATTGCTAGGGATAAACTCTGAGCTTTGGTTTGTTGTATCAGTGACCGGATTTGCACGGCCGCTACACGTGATGTGACCGCCGCGAGAGGCGATAGGCGGACCACGTATAGTGGGCGGCGCGCATGACGTCACACTTCGCGGCGCTCGACACACGCACGAACAAACATCGCTGATTCATTTGTAATGACAGAGTTGTAAAGGTGATCTGCTGAGAGTCTTCAGTTAACTGGGCCATTGCCTCAACTGAAAGTTGTGCATCCCACCAAACGGCTGTAGTCAACGAGCCAATTTCAGCCCTCCTTTGAGAATTTGCATGAAATCTACATAAGGATTCAAGGAATGAAAGTATTGATGAAAAAACGGAAGTAGCCAAGTTAAACCTTCAATTTGAATTTATTCAAGCCTTGTTGCTTCGAAAACGTACTTTTCTAATCGATTTTATTAATGGAGTTTCGTTAGATGCTAGAGTAAATAATTTATTTTTGATTTCGCCTTCGTTACTTCTTCAAAAATATCGACTGACTAAAGAGGATCGCCTTTACATTTGAACAACAAGTTATTGTCGGCTATGCTCATGCGGTCAATGGAGGCGACATTTTATGAGTAAACGTACGCATGTCCAATCCTCTAGTCAATATTATAAATTTATTTAAAAATAATCTGAATTTGATTCAGTTTGTAGCGCGATAACAGTTGGGCAGAGAGGATAAGAATTTATTTCGTCCAAGCATGGCTGTTTTTGTGAAATCGATTGAGTCAAATCTTAAAAAATAGATAAGGGAAATTGGTTGTTGACTTCCAAATAAAAGAATTTTTTTCATATAACTAGAAAGTGGCGGGAATTTTCCATCAACGAATCGCACTTTTTGTATTGGTGCAATTATTTGATTGACGTTAATTTGTAAAAAATTTAAAATCAATCTCAATAAGGAGGGCTGAGTTATTACTTTTTCCTCTGTGAAGACGTGATGCAATGCACTTACTATACATCGAATGCATGAATCAGCTCTCTGGTGTGCACCTACCGCGAACGAATTGAACGGAAGTGTAGCGTCAGTAGCGTCGGTAGCGTTGGCGTCCTTCCTGTGTAGCGCGCGGGGATCTCCCTGTATGTGTGCTGGCTCAATGGCCTTCTTCACTTGAGCGTCGTCATGGCTGAGATGGTCCCCCTGTATCGTCTGCTACCTACGAACACGCTTTTTCTGAATGGGACTTAGTTTTGGTGCTTCAATCTACTTAATTATTTACTGTGAGGTATTTATTTAGTCCGTATTGATATATTCCGTTAAGCCGTATGATGAGTATTTGATTTATTGGTCAAATTAATAATTTTAGTTTTAGCCTTATTATGAATGCTAAAATAAATCATTCATATTACGTCCCGGCTTTTTTTTATCTAAATACGGGCGCTACTGAGGAAGCTGATGGCTTCAATCATATATAGGACGCTCATCACTGTATCTTATCTGCCTCGGTTTGATCAAAGTTTTGTCTCTGCTACATTTTCGTAGATAATGCGGTGTTTCACGGCTATATCATAGTTTTAGTGAAAATTCTCGATGTCGAGGATTTCACTGTTTTTTTTTTAATGATTCTCGATAGAACTCATATCCAAGACATAATTTGAGATTAGATATATAGTTAGAGCTTATCCAAAATGAAGTGAATGGTAGCATTCGGAATCGACATTACGACGCCAAATTTTGGTTTCATGAAAAAGTGTTGGTTTCGATCACGCCCGCAGGTGTCCAGTACTGAGTTATAGCTTCTTGTTGGTACCGGTTCTACAACAAAACACTTGTGTACATGCTAAGGTACGCATCCGCCAGAACTTGGAATTTTATGCGCTGCTATGTGTTCAAGTCTTGAATATGGTTCTTCTGAAGACATCACTATAAAATGTTCATGAACAACTTGTTTATATTTTCATGAAACCTTGTAAACTGCAGCCTTGACTTCTTTCCGCTGCAGTTTCCATATTACCGTTATTATTAATTAGCGTCACACTATTTGTTATGAAGACAAAATGTAATATGCATATGCTTTCACGGTATCCAGTTACTTGAACCTGTAATGAAGATTCAACTTTTCAATGTTGAAATACTGATACGTTCAGTAAATACTTACTTGCTTGTACTATTGCAAATGACAAATATTATTGATGCTATAAAAATGGACTGAATTTTTTGCTCAGGTTCTATTACGGTTTTGTTATCTGATTGAAGAGTTCTTCACTACGTTTGTTGTCCAAGTGTGCAAGTCTGATATAGTACCCTAAGTTTATTGTACAAGTGTGCAAATCTGATTTGTGTAACTTATTTATAGCGCATGAAGATAAATTTGAATGCGATTAGGAACTTAAGGCTTTATGCTATCGTAATCGAGATGACTCACTGCGCTGGCTTATTGTGCGTCACCGGTTGCGACACTTTCATCCGTCTCATTGTGTGTGGTTACAGGAGACGTTATCACCACATCGTTTATAGTTACGCATATAGACGGAAGATAACACGTTATCACCCATGACTCACTCTGTTACTCATTTTATGCTAATATTTGTTGGAAAGAATTAATGGGGCGAGTATCATTCATTGATACTTTCCATCAAGCATAAAAGTAACTTTCTTTAGGACGCTTGTTTTTTTAACCAAGTTGAACGTCATTGAGTGACGTGAAAACGGCTCAGGAGCTTTTCCACAAAATGAATCTCTCCATTACTTTATATTAATTTGAGATTTAGTTTCCAAATTACGACGACTTTTTTATATTATTTTTTATATGATGGAAATTATTATCTTTATTAGATAAGTATATGGATCAATTACATAAAATTTGATTCAAAAAGTGTAAAAACGTTGTCAGCAAAATTGGCATTCACTTTTTATATTTGATTGAAAAGAGGTAAATTATGCATTTTAACTGTAATACTGAACAAAATACCAGGAATTTAAAAGTAAAGAAAATAGCCAAAAAGTTCACCATTTGCGACTTGAGCAGCCAAGTGATTGTAATACTGAACAAAATACTTGTTATTGAAGGCCAGAAATAATTTATTTATTTATGATGAATTGAACTGAAGTTATTCCATTTCTTGTTCAGGAGGCTTCAGCAACTTTTTGAAGAACTACCCCGAGCTTTGTGACGAGGAGCAGCTGAAGAACCATAACATTAACAACAACAATAACAACGGAAACACCGAAAACAACAATTGCCAAGACGACAACACGGGCATACCCTCTCACCTGATGTCAGGGAACTATTTTAACAGCAGCAGTGTCAGCAACCTAGCTTCTCCTGACAGTGAAGCTGCCATCGAGCGTGCTGCTGTAACACAAGTCCTGCCTTACCTCTACCTCGGCAACGCTAAGGACGCTCAAAATATGGAGCTGTTACAGGTTTGTAATTTTGTGTAGTTTGCAGCGCAAAAAATTAATTTTATTTGCATTTGCTACTTTCTGATGCGACAGCTCAGGATTCGAGTTTCAGAAGTTTCAACTGGAAACGATTTCATTGCTGTTCTTACTGCAGGTGCTGTCGTCTTTGTTTCCGACTTGCATTATTTTTGGTCGGTATCGATACCATGTGCATTGTTATTGATATAATGTTCTTCGTTGGGTATTAAAAATATAAACTTATTGATATAATGTTCTTCGTTTGGGTATTGATGAGATAAACTTATTCATATAATGTTCTTCGTGTTGGTATTGACACCATGTTCCTTGTTATTGATATAATATTCTTCGTCTTGAGTATTGATATCATGTTCCTTGTTTGCTCAAAGTTCATTGTTCGCAATGCAGGCGTTGGGCGTGAGTCGCGTCTTGAACGTGACGTCACGAGTGTCAGGATACCGGGAAGAGAGCGGCTTGCTGTGCAAAACTTTGCCGGCGCTGGACAACGGACATCAAAATTTACGACAGTACTTCCATGAGGCCATTGCTTTTATCGGTGAGTAGTCCTGGGCCTCTTATTTTAGAAAGATTATTTTGGGTGTAGAAGAACTTGTATAGTGCTTATATATATTTATATATACTCACTATTGGGCTGAACTCGCATTCAACTTCTTCTAATCGAACAAATTTGTTCGTTTGTATTGTGTTCTTTAATGCAAATTAATTGGAATATTATTCCAGACCGGTGAAACTTTTACTCTAGCTAATGTTAGCTTCCAGTATTTATTTTTAGTTCTGATGTGCGGATAAAAGAGAAGCTGTCGCTAGACAAAGTTTACGGAGGTCTCGCTAACGCGCGGTGCGAGCCATGAAGCAGCGCGCGGTGCGAGCCATGAAGCAGCGCGCGGTCGTCCGTAAATTGAGTCGTGACTCAGCGCGGCTGTTTGCTGCTGCCTGCTTGCGACGCCTTGTTTTCTTTATCACGTCCTGCACGGGGATTCCCTTCGCTAGGTCTCGTTCTGGTTTGCATCTTGCTTCGTTGCTGGAAAATGTTTACTACACAAGCCAGTTCCATGCTGCAGCTAACGGCATTTTTACCTCGGATAGAGCTGACTTACTCATTTTAAAGATTTCCTTCAATTATTAGCGCATTTTCTCTTTTATGGAAAAAATGCACTATTGTGCTCGCCATGTCCGTTTGTCTGTCTGTCTGTCCGTCCGTGACCTCAAGTTTTCGTCGACGAGAAAATGCGCTCTCTGTCACTCACTGCAGTGAGTACTGAGTTATATTTTTTTCTAATCTGGCACGTCAACTCCACACTACGTATATCTTAGCTTGGAACTAATTTTTAGAGTTCGTTAGTCAAAAAGTGCAGTTAGTTATGATAGCTTGTTAAAAGAGTCATTCTTTTGGTTGAGAATGTGTAATAAAATTGTAATATATCTTTAGGTAGCGAGATGGCAAAACCAAAACTTATTCTATGTTTCAATGCGTTTGCCATGTGTGACTGTTTGCCATGTGTGAGTTATTTTGAGGGACCATTCAGCTGTTTCTTCTTTTACACGGTTTGATCAGTCGTTAATTGTTATGTACGGCGTACATAAAGTAAACCAGTTTTTTTCAGTTCCTCGTACGTTTTTTCATCGTTACTAGTGATGTGAGATAACAAAGAACAATCAAGTGGCGCTATGTCCCTCTGTTCTGTAGAGAGTAGAGTTCGTTAAGGCGGGGAGGGTTTGAGGGTTGGTGGTGGTAGACGAGTAGAAATATCGAGCGTAGATATCGACGAGCGAGGGTTGTCGCATTGTTCAGAGTATGACTCATGCCAGACAGAGGGTCTCGTCAGGTGTGGTGGAGACGTCCGCTAGCTTTACGTATCATAAATACCGCATTGATTCTAGTTCATTTACACACTTGTGCTATACCTCGTTGCAAAAAAGTCTCTTGGCAGTTGTGCCGGGTAACTGTCTTTCTTTTGAGGTTTTAGTTGTGTAATCAGACGACTCGATGTGCACGAATATAAATGAATTCATCTATGAATATTTAAAACTTCCGGTAAATATGAATTTCCCTCAATTTTCTTAGGTTTCCTCCGCCAGTGCAGCAAACATTTTTTACAGAAGTTTGTTTTCTCTACGAGCATATATGCGTGTTCCTTGTGAAATAATATTTTACTATATCACTTCGGTTGATTTTGTTGCGAGCTTGTTATTTACCCACTGAATTTTTTTTCTCGTATTGGTCGCACTATCGTCATTCGATACTAAACCTTGAGTTTTCAATCGAGCTTCATTCACCTATTTTTTATTATTTACTTACAAAGAATCTATTACCATTACAATTTTCGATCCCTAAAGCCTTGAACTTGTGACTTCTGTAACCTTGAGTTGATCGTCGATGATCGAACCCTGCCACTGATGTCATCGTTCTATTCTCACGCGCTACAAAATTCTACACAAAATCCGGCGTGCACTCGCATGTTATTTCGAGAGCAGCCTTCAGCCGCGTCGAGGCTGCCGACCTCTAGAATTCATACAAATTTTGTGTGAAAGCTCGTTTAAACGACTGTGGTTGAATAATGTGAATTTTTAAGCGTATTAGATTTTTCAAAGTTTAAGAAATTTAGATCACTTTGTGTCTCCATTGAAATCGACTGAATCAACGAGGCTGTTTAATCAACCCCTCGTATCTCAGAAATATTCATTTTAAGTTTCTTTTCACGTTTCTTCTCGACTCTTTTCTTTCTACTTAAGAATAATGTTTACAATGAGTTGCCGTATTTTGGTCTACAAGCTGCTTTGAACTGTGACCGGATGTCCCAATGAAGGTTTACATCCGATGCCCCCACTAGGCAGGATGCCACCCTCGGACCCGCGTTCCTAGCTGTCGTAAACTCCGAGTTATGGGCACCGCTTCCGTCTTCTGTACTTCTCGCCATGAGAGACTCCCAATGTAGATTTATTGCTCTAGCTTCTTGTGCAACTTTTTCCCAGCAGTCTGACAGCTCTTTTAGTGAGATGCCTCGCAGAATTAATCTTGCACTTTGCCTTCTGAACACATATGAAGACAAAATGTCGTCATATGTTCAGTCCATCCTGAGCATTTTGGCAACGCGTGATTGGTATAGTCATAATAGGTAGAAATTATTAGAATTAGTGCACCCATAATACATACGAATTAATTTTTGATATTTCCCCTCTAGTGATATTCAATATTCTTTTGTATACTACCAAGCTGCTGCCACATTGTCTCTTGGAGAAAAGACCGTGTGTTATTCTGGAGCATGGTAACCGAGGCGTTTTGTAGCGTGTTATGTGCTCAAAACTGCAAGCAGTGTTAGACGGCGCTTGCTCACTTTGCGTGCTAGGACCTGCCTTGGTAATGTTCCGAGAAGAACGTGGAGGCGGTGTAGGCGCGGGATGTTTATGCTCTTACCTTACGCTTACTTTCCTGGAAACTTGTAATTGCGTCGGAGCGACCGGCCGTTACACCGTGGCGAGAACGACGAGCTCGTATAAGCTTGAGCGCGTCCACTGCCGAGCGTCATGCCTACGAAGAAGTATCTCTTTTATATGTGGATGCGAGTAATTCTTCGCAATGATAATCTATCGCATGGCGACATTTTAAGCACATACAGAGATATTCCCTTCCGAATGGAGAAAATAATTTTCGATTCCAGCGAATTTCTGTAAATGAAATCAAAGGTTATTACATAGAGCTTTATTACAGAATATTTTGCAATGCTTGGGTTCAATAGGTTCTCAGCCTTTGTGTAACATGACGCGTATCCACGAACATGCCAGTCCGCTACATGCCAGTGATCATGAGACGAATAAAGTGCGCATGTTCCGATAATTGGGTCTATTCATCAGAGAATTTGGCGTCTGGCTGGAGACGCTGCAATACGTAGGCTCTCATGCAGCCTCTTACTGCATGCATGCGTTGCTAACTTCATCACACATGCCTTGCAACTTCAATCGCCTGCCAAGAAGATATTCTGTTTCTGCTGTTGAAGTTTGTCAGTCTATATATGTTGGTTGGAATTTCACTCATGACTGGCAGCATAAGTCACATTATGATTCAAACAAAAGCCACATCACGTGAAAAAATGTGAATAAAAAGCGGTGAAGCACTTTGGAACAGTCGACAGTCGCGGTATGAAGTGAGCACCAGCTTCGGTGTAGCAGAGACGGATTTGTTGCAGTGACGCACTGACTGTTTCAGAGTGTGATGTCATCAGCGCGCAACCTGAGCAACCACTTGAACTGACCAGGTCCTCAAATACCTTCGCTGCTCAATTACATCAGCCCCGGAATAGGTTGAATATCCTGTAAATGAGCCATCAATGTTCCCCATTTTTGTTGTCCATTCATCATTACTTGTTGAGCGGCAGCTAACCAACTCGCTATGAATCTGGAATATGTGAGAATGCTGATCGTTGCCTTATTTTTATTCTTCGATCTAGACCGCCTGTTTTCAATAAGTTTATATGCTATGCTATAACTGATAGTAGTACTAGTGCGCAAACTAATTCCTTGCATTTGTGGAGCTCTAATGTTATAAGCAGAATCGAAGGTAACCGTGGGCTGCAATTATCATCCGAGAGAAATGATAATTGTGGTTCTGCAGACGAGTAATTATCTGGCAGCGTCGCAAATGAGCTCATCAGGCAACAAGTCTGAAATTATTCCTTAGTGTGGAATCTCAAACAGCTTGCTGGTCTGTTCATCGGTCGCGAGAGTAGGTTTTGCTTTCTCTTCTCTCATCTACTTATGTTCCTCGTAATAAGCTAAATTTACCCAGTGATGACAATCCGCAGAGTTTGAGTTGCAAAAGTCTCACAAATTTGCGCTTTTATTCTTGGTTTTTGTCGTTGTTATTCTTTTATATTTACGTTAGTAACGAGTTGAAGAACCTCGTTGACGGGATGCCGCTGCTTGCGCTCGAAGGCCGGCGCAACGTTTAGTGCGTTTACCAGGCTGTGTCGTTCACAGTGACATCATGCGATGATATCACGCTCAGTCATCAGTGATGTCTTTAGTATTCTATTGTACTAGGCTACACTCCTACAATCAAATTTGTGTGAATAGTAAATGTCATGATTTAAGATATTAAGTTCGCTTTGTAGTTATTTTATTCATAGGTACAGGTATGCAATTTTTAAATTGTAAATTTTTCTTTGTTTGAAACCCAGCACTCTGTTATGGAATTTATCAGTCTAAAATAGTCAAGATTATGCACATAGCTTCGATGTGTTGCTTCACTATACGTAGTATCCTGTCTTGCTGCGCCCCTGATCGATAACCATATTCTCTCAGCAGAATTGCGCGGGGTTTCCCTGAATTCGTTTTATCTACGTATCATTCCCTTGGGAAATTCACGCATAGTTAAGTGTTTTTTTCTCCGATAAAATATCCTTAGGTTAAATCTCGTATCAGGTTCTGTCGACGACGAAAGCGTCGTCTGCATGACGTTGTGGTTTGTTCATATGCATCCTCATAAAAAGTAACTTTTTGATATCTAAATCTGAACCGGAGGCTGAGGTCAAGATAAGGTGTGGAGACTTCTTGTCTCGTACATTCCACTATCTCGTTATTTTTCTTTTATCAGCATCATATGCAGCTTCCATTCCTGACCATGTGGCTAATTTTTACATTGATTTGATCGCGAAATAGTTGTTGATGTCTCAAAGTAATTACTAATGTATCATTAGTTAGACATCGTCGAATTAGATTAGAATCGTCGTCGTCGATTCATTGCTAAAATTTGCGAATCCTTCGCTAACATAAGCTCGATTTAAAAATTAACATACTCAACTCGCGTTTTCTGAACTATAATTTTAATTGTGTTATTTATTGTGTTAGATAATATTTTAATAGCTTGAAATTATTTAAATAACATGCTTTAATACTTCTAATTCTTCGTGTGCAGACTGTTGCAAGTTCAACGGTGAGCGGGTGTTGGTGCACTGCCAGGCCGGCATCTCTCGCTCAGCCACTATAGTGATCGCGTACCTCATGTACGCCAATAGGGAGCCCATGATAAGCTCCTACCAAACTCTTAAGAGTCTCAGGACAATCATCTCTCCTAACTTGAACTTCATGGGCCAGTTGCTGGAGTGGGAGTCTTTCTTGAGGGCCAATAGCCTGGAGTCCAGCGAAGCCAAACCGTGCCATCAGTGCGAATGGAAAGTTCAAGACAACGCGCCTCTAGCTACCGCTTGTCAATTATGACCCCAGTGTGCTAGGGGTTGTTTCAGTAATTGGGTTCATGACATTGATCGCTTACCCAAGAATATTAATTGTACTCTCTGTCTTATGAATAATAATTTGAACCACAGAAATAATACTAAGAGTGATGCCAGTAATACCGCTCTTCCGAAAAGAACTGTCAATAACGATATCTGCGTCTCTGAGAAGGTCTCGACAAAAGATGAGTCAGCATCTGTCCAGTGTGAGTTGCCATCATTTTTATTGACCCCGCCTTCTCCGCCTTTGTCATGGAACGGGAACATTCTCACTGAGCAAAATAACGGTGAAACTCGGGACTTCAAACGGGACGCTGTCTCCTCCACTCTTCAGCTACGAGCTTTATCACCGCCGTGCTCACCTGTCGGGCTTAAACTTCCCATCATTCCTTGCTTCAAACCCAAACTTTCTTTTGCACTACCTTCTGATGAAACCATAAATAAAGATGACCATAAGAAAACTTCGGATACTTCTCTTGCTCCCAAGTTCTCTCTTTTCGAAGCCTCTTCTCGGACTAATCCCGAAACAATACATGCTCGCATATCTCCTGTATCTGAGAAGAAACTTCCACTTAGCCTGAGCCTGCCGCTCGCAAGCAGGCCAAGTGACGTGAGCAGCCGTGTGTTATCTGTGTGTGGTGGAGCACAAGCTCCTCTTGAAGTTCCATCTTGGCTGCTTTACAGGCGCAGCTTGAGTGCGCCTAACGAAGACAAGGGAGATGACGCAAGCTGCGCAGCCGGTACCAGCAATGTCTGTTGGAATTCATTAAAGGGCGAGTACAAAATGGATGTTATTGATCATCTTGTGAAAATTCAGGAGAAACTTAATGAACGGATTCCTCTTAAGCGTAAGTATAATGAACTGGGCGAGCCTAAAGCTACTGACGATAGTGAGCTGAGTGTGAACAATAGTTATTCAACCCTCTATCAGAGTTTTGGTACAGACCTATCAGATGGGCATTACTCATGTAGAGAAGATGTCTCATCGAGAGACGTATCCGTGATTCCCGAGCCGACAGCAGCCTTGGAAATGCTCCAAGCACCGATCAACGCCGGGCTTTTCCAAGATGATGTTGCAATAGCGCGGGCTCCGAACAGCCCCGCGGCTGCTGCAGACAATGACGAGACACCGCGATTCAAGATGCCCTCATTACTGCCTCTGAAAAGGCTCACCGACTGTGATAATACAGACTCAGCCACGTCTAATGCTTCTGGAAAACGACCAAGGCTCACGCGATCTTAATTTATATTTTCTCGTATAAAATTCGAAAGTTTGTTCGTTTTCTAACGTGGAGCAAGCATGGGCGAAATATCTCCGCATACATCTAGCTGAAGAGCAACGATCATGTGCCAGAATACCCTGGACTCCTGCACACTTAGACGAGACTTTGTTGGAGGGCTTATCTGGCAGCTTAATATATCCAAGCCATGTTTCTTAATTTTTTCACAATATTTTTCGATAGGGGCATTAGAATCTCTCCTGATGAGGCTGATGCAATAGTTGTAAAAATATTAAACTTAGAGTAATGGATGTGCAGATCGGCTAATGGCTATTCTGGCCAATCAATTTTGCCAATCAATGCACGTTTTATATTTTTTATTTAACTCGTGGATAATCCCAAGGAGCCATAAAAGACAATTTTATTTCTGTAGTATTGAGCGATATTGTGGCAGAAGTTTCTAGGAATGGATCGCATTTCTTGTGTGTTACCTCCGTTTCTCCAACTCGTCAACTTTATTTAAATGTAATTTATCGTGTAATGTTCTTGAATTTTTATTCACCTGGTATTTCCCGTAGCTATCGCTACCAGGTCCTCATTTTTAATGTCTACCATATTTCTAATGGTGTATTATTTTTCGGGGCTAACGCCAAAATCTTTCTTGTGAACTTTAGCGGAAGCACCATCGTATTACCGCACAAAAAGCTCGTGCATGTAATTAAAGAACGCCTGCTTTCAGTTCACCGGGAGAAAATTATGCTAAATAATGCCTGTAACATCCATTGCTACTAGTGAATACTTTAAAGTTTTGGTCTCTCTATCGACCAACTCCATCCCATTAACTTGCTGAAAACTCGTTAAATACTCGTGCTTGCGAGATCAGAGGGAAAGTTTCTGATATTATTCCTAATGAAAATTGTTATTTGTGCATTGAAACATCCTACTTCTTGCCTTTTTTGAGTGACTCTAGTGCCTTCTACCAGTACTCTAACCCTTACTCTTGTGTGAACTGTACCACTGTACCAGCGAAGCTTATAAGCCTCTGCAACAACATGTAGCCATACCCCCAACGCCGTTCCAATCCCAATCACTGTTGATTATGAAGCCTAGTGCCAGTGTAATAGACTTAGTATACTTGGAAATAAGTTCTTAATTTAGAGAGGAAAATTTCCGCTTAAAAAGATAACGAATTTACTGTCTTGCTATTTTGATTGTTCGGGAGGCGAGTTCCAACTAGATTTAGACCTGAGTTGTATTTCTAGGCATTTTGTCCGAATTTAGGCTAATCCGCTAATTATATAGTCTAAAATTTTCATTTTATGTAAACTAATTTTACACTCAGTTAGAGTGTGATGAATGTTATTTTGAATCGTGATTTATCCCACCAGAAAGACTCAACTTTTCGCTTCATGTTTCAGGAACGCGCTATGCAATGCTTGACGTTTTCTTGATGTTTTTCTGGTAGAAGTTAGCCCTCCTTACCATCGCAGTGCGCGGTGCCGTCAACTGACATATCCTGTGAACTCTTATATCAATATTACTTTCAACAAGCACCTTGGATGCCTAGTGAAAGCTTCCTTCTTGATAGACCTTAGAACCTTAATTTAGCTGCTTCAATGTTTGAGATACAATTTAACTCTACAAGTCATAGATATTTCAGTAGACATAAGCTTCTCAGGTTTAAATATACTTTAAATAATGTAATACCTAAATGTTATAAGTGTGATCAGGTTGTGATTTTAAGTGCATGGTATATTTCAGTGATTATTTTCTTAGAAATTTACTTCCTTGAGGATTGTTCTACCAAAAACTATATCGTGGAGGCCACTATCATCCATATTATTAGTTAGGACACGCCGCTTGCAGCTTTGACGAGTCAGGGTTAGACCGACGGACAACGTCTGCGTTGAGCGTCATCATTTCTTCACAGATTCCGTCCCTCGTAGCACATTTGTGGTTATCTTTTTGTTTTCAACTTTCTTGCATTTGAAACATCATGTCATCTAAAATATGAACCTCTAAGGGGAAGAATTTTCCTTTTCATGCTACTCAAACGACACTGTTGTAATAGTTTTGCCCGTGGCTTGGGTTTGGTCACTTTATTTTATCGTACTTGCAATTTTTGGTTTCTAGCTCCTAACCCATATTTTTTTGCAACTCCAACAATCTAGTCAGGACTACTGGGGGATTCCTTTCTTTGCTGATGTGCGTGAACTACTGCTCTACCTAACAAGTTCACGAAGAAGCAAATGCGGCACTGATTTTTCTTTGTATTACTCGGATCTTAAAGATTATTTGTAGACTTCAATTTGGGAGTTTTCTTTCATGATTGGAACTGTAAAACTGCAGGCTTATGGGAGGGAGAGAGCCACATGGATCTGAGGTGTATAGCGTGGCTCTCAGGAAGCTCCGATCGTGGATGCACGGAAGAGGGACTGACAGGCACGATGTGGTTCGTGAACCTGTTCAAGCAAACCGTCTAGTCTTCTCATTACGTAAGCGTAGGTTGAGTGAGGATTTCATTCAAAATATTTATTACGAACTGTGAGGTGTATAAAAATTAACATAAGTTACTTGTATTTATTAATAAAACAAGACTTGAGCACAACAGCTCGCAAGCGAATAAAAATTAAACAATAAAGATACTTTCCGTGCTTACATTTACCTCAATTTGTGTTATTCACTCTCTGCAGCCGAGACGTTACGTATAGAAAACGACAATCTTCCCATGGAGCCTAGTATCGTTAAATCCGTACGTTGAGAAAAACACTTCCAAACTTAATTTAAGAACACTCCGGTATTTCTAAGGCTAATTTAACTAGAACAATTGAACAGTAAACAGGAAAAATAATTGAGGAATGTAACACTGCCATGATGAACGACAAGCGTCCACTGAGAGGAAGAATGTTGAGTACAGCAGTGTTGAGACTCTTCTCCCTATTCGAGGTTGCTCACGCAACATATTATAAATTAATATTTGGCATACTGCGGAAGTGACTAGCAGCTAAGACTAAATAAAAAGCGTTTAATTACGACATTCCGGTCAGACAAGGAAAAGCAGCAACGATACTCGCCACGTCATTCGATGAAATACAAATGAAAATCTAGGGGCGTGCGTCACTTCCAAATACTTCAGACCTTAAATAAATCTCAAATGATACTACTAGATCGATCCGAGTTACAAGACATGAAGCCAGCAAAAAATTTCGCCAAGGGGAAACTACGGAAAAGTCATTAAACATAGGAAAAACAATCGAACACCTAAAATGTCACGAAACCAGATGCATGCTGGCACAAAAAGCGAATGCTAGCATAGCCCGACTGAGAGCATATATTGTAGATTCTTATAGAGAGCAGGAAGGGTAATTTTCATCATTTTACTCACTTCTACAGGAGAACGTTTGGCACAAACTACGTCAATACTCAATAATATCCAAAAGTCTAAGTTGAGACAGTTCACCGAAATTTAACTCTGGCAAACACAAACTGTTGATTATCAAGACAACCACAGCCCATATCACTGCAAACGAGCAACTGCGACCACGAACTCACTAGGACCAGAACATTCAAGTAAATGACTAGAGGCGGCGCACCAGCCGTCTACTACACAAACTCCTGCACAGAATTTGAGTCGGAAGGAAGGAACTTTGCTATTGCTAACTAAGTTTCATCAGTAACGTTGCTGAAGGTTTTGAGTATTTAAGCACAACTATCGCATTTTCTATCTACAAAATAAAATGTTAGCTTCAAAAATATTAGAAGTTCAAATAGAAATTTAAAGATGCTACAACTTCGAATAATTTTTTAAAGTAACTTAAAAATAACTTAGAAACTCGTCTAGAACATGTAAAAGACAAACAATGAAGCTTCCTCAACGCTTTCATGTAAATACTCGTTAAAGCTTAGAATACTCGGTAACTCAAGGATATAATGATGCCAGGTCCTTAGATATAGGTAATTTTAAAGAGAGCAAGTAAGGATTGAAGGATGCACATTAAGTCAGCAAAATTCAATCAGCTGTGGCTCTAATGCAAGTATCTACGCGTAAATGAAGAAATAAATGCTATCAAAAGCTTATAAAGCTTGAGATACTAGTTTATAAAAACACGAATCGTGAAACAACGAAGTCAATTTTTCATATATCGTCACTAGCCATCCCATTAGGCATACAAGAATCTGAATAAAACAGGAGTCTAATGCCCGCAACCTTACCATTTATTGCAAGAATCGGTCACAGACAAAAAAAAAATGCAAAAGTGACTATCATATCAATTACTTTTTGGAAATCTGCCCCGAATCGGAATTTTAAACTAAAAAGACCCAAAACTAACGCCACAGATCTCGAATTGGAATACAACTACACTGTCTGGCAAACTTAGAACTTCGAATCCTTCGTTAAAGATCCCAGCATCAATGTTGATAAGTAACATTTGGCACAACTGCTTATGCATCTCGTGAAATATGCTTTTTCCTATCAATTTTCGGAGCAATAAGTTCATTTGGCGGGATGGCGGCTAGGATTTTCTTGCTTTCCTCCATGTTGCTATTGTTCATGCTACGCTGGCAGTCGCACCACGGCGTCTCTTTCTCGTCACACTGCAGCGCCACGTTCAGCACCGTCAATCGGAAGCCTTCAATGGACAGCTGCAAGTGGGATTTCATGATGGATAATCCATCAAATAATGGTGGGTTGTGATATATGCAAATATAATATAAATATACAATTACTTTTAAATAAAAATACAATTTGCAAGTATCATTTTCAAGTGGAAGTTTTCACCATGTTAGGATAATTACAAAAAAAACTGCCTGATCAAACTCAATTTGCTGGAGTGCATGCGGTGAAAGATACGACATAGTATAATGGAGTTTACACCATAACTTTGATAGCAGCAATAATTTTCAGATAGTAAAATAGATTTGTTTCTGTGTTAGGACAGCTGTACCACGAACCAGGTTCTCACCTTCCTTCTACTCATAACGTAATAGTTGAGGGTGTTGAGGCCTGTGCGTCTGTCTCGCCTCCTTGTGAGCAGGTGCTGGTCATAACATCGAACTTCATCTCGATGCCTTACGTGCCTGTCGTGTATGTGCCTGCGTACAACAGCAAGAGTCGGGAGTTTATAAAAGTAAATCATGTGTTTTCTCACGCACACATTGAGCAGGCACATACGTAGTGTTTCTTAGAACGTGCATTAGCATTTGGGCTCTAGATTATAGAGGAAAATCAAGCAAAACACAACTGGTGGCTCAATTATGAAAACAATCCCAAAACAGCTTTTAGATCGGTTCCTTTAGAACTCATTCTGATATACCTGAAGCTTGCAGTGCCAGTGCTCAGATTACCAGGTCGTTGAATCTGTAGTTGAGCATCTTTGAGGCGAGCATAGAGTTCATCGTCTTCTAGCCCCCAGCCCCAGTACACGTTGCTCAGGCCATTAACCAACAAAAAATGCTCCCTGAAAACGAAGATTTGGTGGGAAATCATAACACAAACTGCTATCAAACACTGTTTAAAATACCTAACTACTTATTTCTGGCAAAATTTTAAGTTTACAATTACTTATAAGAAATGTTAGAGGACATGCATGTGTAATTAATACAAGAAAATAAACAGCCAATAATTTAGATTGAAATGCAAAAAGTGTTGAGAATGCATGGATACCGGTACCGTAGTTTAAAAAATATTTATACCTCACAAAATGAGAAGATGGTACATCAAAATAACCACTAAGCAATGGCAGGGAAATACCTGGTTAAAAGTAGAACTCCGCCAATGAACGTAGGATAATGATATCGAGGATGTAGGTTTGGTGCAGCAACATGCATGGGGCCAGAAGAAGGGTATCGGTAGCTCAGCTCTTGATTTGTGGGTAGCAAGTCTATATCATGGAGTGCAATGTAGTCATAAGTTCGGCCAGCCTCCATGAACCCAACATTTAGGAGGCTTGCTCGATTGAACCGAAATTTATCCACCTGAGAAGGAACCAAATTTTAATAAAGTTAATTTATAAATGAGAATTTCTGGAATAAGTAATATAAATGTATTTGGAATTAGAACAATAAAACTATGGAATTTCTAGTAAATGTGATAATAGTTTTATTTGACTAGGGAACTATAAAGTTTATAAGCAAAAAGTACTGCACTATCAAATTATTGGCCCTAGTAATCATATAGTTTTAATTTGAACTTTTAAACTTTTGACTAGAAAGCTAACTTTCATCAGTGTCACATAAGTCACTGATCAGCAGCAACTGCACTTAATATGCTGCTGGTCAATAATAACCATATAATGCTGGTCAGAATTATCATTTGTAGAGTTTGATTGCGGCATAATAACTAAGAAGATTTTTTTGATCATGCTAGAAAGTTATGGTCAAGTTTTGTTAACAAAAAAGGCTTGTTTCTTTTGAAGGCCAGAGACACGAGTGCTGTGATGAAGATGGTGGCATATACAATTTAACTTTAGTCAATCAAGTTCAGAATACTAGATAAACTTCAATGCTGTTAGACTATGACTTGAATTTTTGAAGGCAATAAATCTTGTCTCACAAAAAACTGTTTCAAAATAAATAACAAGATGTGTCATGATGCTATGGATAAAGAAAGCAAGAAATAAAATTTTTCTTTTCTTAAACACCTAGAAAACTTGTAAATAAATATATTGAACAAAACAATACCGTAGTTTAAATATTACACTTGCTAGGATACATCATTCACCTGAAACTCCTCAAAAATCAGCCAATCTGAATTCAAGAATAGAATAGATTTTTGAGGACCCCTTACCTGATTAATAACAAAAATATGATGTTTTACTTTCTGTTCCCTGAGAAATTTGCTTAGATGAATAACAAGCTCTTGAAGTTCCTCAAATCTGTCTCTGAAAAATAAAAAAAAAACATTAAAATCATACCATGTTGAATTTTGTTTACTTTAGCACAGTGGTAGATGAGGTCTAATATAGAACAGCTAAAATATTTTTACCTTATATTTTGAACAACTTAAATTTATGTAAATACTTCAGAAAAGTATCTTAAAATCAAGTATTTTTATATCACTTATCTATTTTAAATTATCTTTTTATCAATTCTAAGATGAAGATAGAGATAGGTACATTGACATTTTTTAATTGTGAAATTAAAGTACATATATACCATACTATCACTAAATCAGCAGTGACAGGTATTGAAAAAATAAAAATTATACAATCATGCCATATATACAAAGACTAAAGTGAAACAATATCACATATATTCTGCAGGAGTTTCATTTAAATTGTTTTGATTATGCCTTGAATAATAGCTACCTCAGAGGAACCAATACAGCCAAGTTGTGTTCATCACTGTTGAAAAATTGGGTGTCATCACTCCCATATACTTCACAACCTGAAAAATTGAATATTGTTAGATGCATCTATATTTGCAGAGTAAGCTTCATTATTTGCTTTGCCTTCAAAAGCTCAAACTAGATATATACATAGACATATATAAAAGAGTTGAAGCTGCAGCTTAAAAATGGATTCTTTAAAAAGCCAGTAATTACAATGAAAGTTATCTGAAAGAGAAATTGAGGAGCAATCACACACTTCATAAGAGATTTCAAGGGTCATAATGTGGCATAGGATGGATGATACAAAGAATCCCAATTTAAATTCTAAATGCACAATGATAATGCCTATTGCAGGATTGGAATTTTCCTTCTTATGGATGAAAACTTGTGGCTCCAAAGTGAAAAATTTCTTTTACATTTGGAATCTTGCAGCCCAACCTTGCACTTTAGTCAACAATTATATAACATGAAACATGGTAATAAAGGATGGGTTTGAGCCTTTTTTGTCAATAACTTCTTTCCATGAAACATTTCATAAACAAATTTGGACTCATTTTAGAGGTCTTTGTGAGGGCTTTTGTATGGCATCTTTTAAAAATTCCATATGCTATTCATAAGGTGCCAGAAACAAAATTATGTATCCCAAATTACCCCTGGCCCTGGGAATGGGGTAATCTGGGACACTTGAAATAAAACTTAATTTTAAACATTTGAAGTATGCAGAGTGTACTCATCGGCTCATCAATTACTGATGTTACGCTGAAGTCCTCCTCTTCCTTTGTAGATGTAGAATAAATGGCATTTTCTGTGATTTTTTCTCGTTTTTCTATCATTGATATATTACCATATCCAATTTTTATGTTAACTGAAGCTGTTGCTAATCAAGGTTCTACTGTAAATGCATTTTCAGGGGTGTCTCTTATTACCCTGGGGGAAGATGCTTCTTGTTACCCCATCTTGCAGAAATTGCTGCCATTTTTTTAATGAGATACACAAATTCCATCAATCACATTTTTTAAACCAATACATGTGTGCAACTTTTATGCAAGTAAAATTTTTTTAGCCGGCTAATGTTTTTTTTTTGCTACAATCCTTAGCAGAGGTACTTTTCCACAATCTCACTTTTCACACTTTGTAAAGGGATTTTTTAGAAGTAGTAAATGTTAAATGTAGGATTTCTTAACTTGCTTTATGCTACATAGATAGTAAAAATTATAAACTTTATACCAAGCATAAAACTTCCAACCTTAGGGCCACTGGCCCTGGCCACAACCCACGACTAGAGCTTTCCAACCATTTCTGGAACTGCGAGATTTCTGCCAGATGAATTACCTCTTATACAATTGTTAACAAAAATGCACAATCAGGCCACAGGATTCCAAATGTATCAAAAATTTGTCATGTTGAAGCCGCAAGATTTCAGAAACAAGTACCTAGAAAATTCTAATCCTGCTTTACACCACTAGTAATTTAAGTTTTGCACAATTTTTATTAGTTTGGCTGCAACAACATTTTTACAAAATATGGGAGTGGGACAACTAGGTAGCTATCCCGATTTACCCCGCCAGCCCGCCCGCCCCTTATTACCCAATTTGACGTGATGGTTGTAGGTAATTGAAATTCATCTATTGGGAATTTTGCAAGTAAATTGCAACTCTAAAATTGATGGGAATGCTCTGGTTGTGGCTCAAAAACTAGATACCTATATTCTATGCCAGCCTATTGAGAACGAGAAGTAGGAATGTCAAGATAACAATAATAAATAATTAGGTACCTAGGTATATTCGATTAGCTAATAAGGATTGGTCATTGGACATGGAGAATTTGCACTCTGATTGTAAGATTAGGAATCCAACAACACAGATTTAAAATTAAAATTTTCAACAGAACAAAATCTTAACTTTATAAAACAATTGTACAACTGTAATGAAACCATATGATATAGGTATATTTCAGTGAAAAAATTGTAAAACAGATTAATACATTCTTTTGAGAGAAGGATTAGCAAAAGTTTAGACGAGATAACTAACAAAAAAACCAACCTTGTTGTAGTGAGTCATTAAGAAGTAAAACGCGAATCAAGCATCCCAAGATGCCTGCTGCACAAATGAATTTTAAAACCCTAATAAAAGGCAAACGGTAAAGACCTCTCACACCTGCAAGCATTCTGAGGTCTTTCAAAGTGTACGCTAATTCCGCCGCAGCGGATTGTGTAACAGATCGCGGAAAAAGCCAAAGGCCCAATTGTAAATACACAATCGGGACAGCGATCGTGGCCGGTTGAAGGCTTGAAGCTACGTACGACAACGGACGTGTCACGTGTGTAAGGAGAGAGTCCGCGGCGTTCATACGGCAAACATCTTCAGATTGTGCTCTGTGAATCGTGATCAACGTAACTATCTCTTTTGCGTTTAAACATAATATTGTAAACTATTACAGTTATACATTCACTAATCACTAACTTGATTTTGTATTGCACTTTTCTTTATACCACGAGTATATTAGCTAAGTGTTCAATTTCAAGAACCCGGCTGGCTTTATCTTACCCCACAAATGGTCCTATCTTACCCCACAAATGGTCCTCTCTTACCCCATAGTTTATCAAAAATAGCTTTTAAATGAATATATTATGGTGCATTTGTATTGGAGTATTTTGGTAAAATGGAACATACATCTTTTGCTCAAAATAACCATTCTAACTCGTCAGCTTTTTAAGGGGAGCATCTGCCCCATAATCAAAAATTTTGATTTTCGGTTTTTGTACGTATCTTATCTTAAAGCTTACATTCTGACGCATCTAATGGTACCAAAACCAACTCTGTACGTTGATTTATGCATTCACGACAGATCGCGAAAGGGTTAGGCGCGGGAGTTCTTTACCATGGAGATAGGCCAAAAATACCGGTAACACACTTAAATAGCTAGTCTGAACATGCTGTGCTTCAGTTATCCGCCTGCAGTTGTATGGGATGGTTCTTGTGCCGTCGTTCACACCATCCTTGACAGAAATTGAGCTAGAGTATCATCTAGTCTTTGCAACCTTGCACCCTTGAATGTCATTTTTGAGGTGCACGCGACTTTGTTGGGCCCTACTGAAAAGTTAACTTATTGTCACTGCAAACCTATCTCCTCCTACAGTTTTTAAGCTACAACAATGAGACATATATCATTCGATTCACAAATAAAAGATCTACAAAATATTCATGGCATTTTTCCTAATTTTGTTATAATTTGGATTTTATTCTGCAAAAAATGGGAAGATGGCTTGGAGAAAAATGAAAAATTTATGAAAAATGCCCCCACTTCCACAAAAATTGGAATTTCTAAAAAAAGCCATAAACATTTTATAGATAAAGACTTTATGCATCGAATGATATGTGTCTCAATGGTGTAGCTTGAAAATCTTAGTACTAGTTACATTTCTACAGTCCCCCTTATTTGGCTGTATCATAAGAATTTCACATTTTCCTTCATTTTTTTCAAAAAATTCACACAAAAATTCACACTCTTTCTATTTTAAATAAGTGTACCAAGTTTCATGACCAAGTTTCAGAGTGCTCCATCTGTAAATAACCGAGATAAATTTAGGGGCAGATGCTCTCCCTAAAGAAATTTAGCGTACTATGGTAAATTGCATTAAGGGGATGGAGAAAATAGGGATGTCTCTTCCCATTAGTGAGCTGCAGAACTATGTGCAAGAGTGGTTGGGGGGAAAATCATTGTGTGAAAAATAAAAAATAATTAATATCACAACTTTGTGAGAGAGCATGGGCTAGGTATGTTTGGAGAAGTGAACCACAAATGCAGTTAGCAAGAAAATACATGATGTCCGACACTTAAGTTATTATCCATTGGTTTTATTATCAATTTGATAAATTTTCAGACAATGACACTAATGGAATGTACATGTAGCATTCAGCAGTGCTCTACAATGAATCAAAGCCAACCTACTATTACTATGCTTAACACTTTAACGACCAGGTGTACCATACGGTTGCCTTTCAAACATGCTGTGTAATATTACTGTCATGATAAGGAATATGCGATATAGTCAAATGGGGTAAGACAGGATCGCAGCCTTCATGGGGTAAGAAAGGACCAGCCCATAGCATGCATTCTAATTGCACTGAATTTAATTTGACAAAAGAATATGTTAGAGCAATCATTGCCTGTCATTTCAGTGTTTGTTTCAACCCTCTTCTGCAAATATTGAATTACTGACTAATTTTTAAAGAAAACCTATGTAAAGAAGGGTCACAAAATAGTTAACCCTGTTTGTGAAATAAGCTCTGTCTAATAACAAAAAAATTTTTGGTCAGGTTTGTGAATGTAGGCAGGTAACCTCAAGTAATAAGCAACTTTTGAGACATACTAGACATTCTTACCTGCTACCATCACTGCCTGACATGCATTATAAAATGGGGTAAAAAAGGACCGGCCATGGGGGAAGACAGGACCACTAAATGATCCTGTTTTACTCCACAAGCGGTCCTATCTTATCCCACAAATGGTCCTGTCTTACTACCCCACAAATGGTCCTGTCTTACCCCACAAATGGTCTTCTATTACCCTACAGTTTATCAAAAATAGTTTTTAAATGAATATATTATTGTGCAGTCAGTAGTCAGTACATGGAGTATTTTGGTCAAAATTTTTATCTTTGGCTCAAACTTCAACTTGTTAGCTCTTTTAATTAGAGAAACTTAGTGCACTATTAGAAAATAGGGATGTCACTTCCCATTATTGACCTGCAGAACTATGTGCAAGATTGGCTGGGGGGAAAATCATTGTGTGAAACATGAAAAATAATTATGATCCCAACTCTGTGAGAAGGCATGAGCTATGTTTGAAGAAGTGCACCACAAATGCAGTTAGCAAGAAAACTCATGATGTCTGACACTTAAGTTATTATCCATTGGTTTTATTACCAATGTGAAAAATTTTTCAGACAATGATTCTTGGAAATGGAATATACAGGACGCATTTAGCAGTGCTCTACAATGAACCAAAGCCAACCCACCTTTATTATGCTTAACAAAGTTTCCTCGTGACAAAAACTCCAATGTGACTGATATTATAGTTGACTTCCCGCAACGCAAAACAGTAACAAGTGGTTGTTTAATCAAATAATGTGTTTCTAGATGGATACTATTGAATATCAGATTTGTACTTTTATTAAAAACCTTGTAACATAAGAATAACTAGTTGGTCCTGTCTTACCCCATGCCTGGTCCCATCTTACCCCAATGGGGTAAGATGGGACCAGTTCACTTTTTTTAATCTGTACAGAAAACTATGTTAGATGCAAAATGTCAGAGTTATAGCTTAGAAGCCTATTGCATAGATACACCTTGTGATATGTTTAGGATTTTTTAATTATTCATGGTATAGATGCTACGGGCTTGTTAGTGATTTTGGTCCTGTCTTACCCCATCTGACTATA